ACTTTACATGCTGCCAGCCAGAAAAGTAGCACTGGGATTTATTTTTAGTTGAGTTGCTATAGATAATTATAACCATCCATTGTTTGTGCGTTGCTTAAAATATTGCCCCTGGTATATATTAGTTCATCTTTTAACACTGAATTTCATTTGTTTTCTTCACTCACTTACGACCTTGATATTACAGCTCATATAAGTCTATGTTCTCTGCAAATTTCAGTGTCTGCTTGACCCTTTAAAGGAATAAACATATAGTAAATAATGCATTAACCTGCTAACCACTAGAGATAATGAAAACTGAGGACTTTCTCATTTCTGTCTCTTTCCAATTAACCATAGCTTAATCAAAGATAAAGCTCTGCCTCTTGTCTCATGAACAGTCCCAGGTTTTTCTATTGAGAACTTTTGAAAACAAAAAATTATAATTATATTTTTATATAATTTTAATATCATATAATGTTAAATTATATATTTTAGCTCTCCTTTGCAAAAGATATTCCTGTTGCACTTTCAGTGTACAAATTAGGCAGAAATTAGTAACTGATTTTTACTATTTTCCTATATATCATCCCCTTTTAAAAAAGCAATAATTTTTGACTGCAGTTATCCATGGTTTTGGGTTGTAGCTAACATAGGATAAGTAGATTTGCTACCCGGCAGCCTTTTTCATTTTCTGTCAACTACTGCATTAAAACTCATAGTTCAACCAGATGACTCCAAGGCTCCAGCAGAATTCATGAATAACTGTATCTAGGCCTAATGAAGTACAACTTTTCAATTTATCTGTTTGTTCCAGTATTTTCTTCCTTCTAATGTTCAGAAACTTTGTACATGACTTATTCCATCCTCTGGAGAAAAGTAACAAAATAAAACCTTTACCTGTTTTTTTTTTGCCATGTTGTATTTTAAAATCCAACCATACCACCGTTCCTTTCTTGACTTTCCTTTGTCCTTTATTTAGCCTTTCAAGAATTGTGTATGTCTTTGGTTATATGTTTTTTCATGGTTTGCATTGGAGTCCTCCTAATTTACATCTTACATTTTAACCTGCCAGAAATTACACTTCTTTCTAGGGAAGAAGAATTGAATAATACAAAAGAAAGATTGTATCCGTCAACTGACAGAAGCAAATAGTATATTTATGCTTATAACAGTATATTTATTCATTGAATTATAGTACTTAGGTATTCTTACCAAAAATTCAATAATTTTCTAAACTTACTTTGTACTGGGGATGAAGGGGAATCTGACTGGGAAGCATCTTTCTTAATATGACTTTTCCAGGAGACAGCAGTTGAAATTTTGTTTCAAATTCCACCCACTTTGTTAATTCAACTCCACTTTGGGATTTTTTAATAGGAAGAAGAGTAAAAGTGTGGTAAATTCATCTTTAGTTGCATTAAGAAAGTAATGTTATTCATATAGAATCATTATGCTAATATGAGGTACCTTAAGAGCATGTGTGCAAATCTGGTCCTTCCACATTTGTCCATAGATCATGTGGACTGACATTTTAAAGCTTTTTTGGAAGACGTCAAAAACCAAAAATGAAAAATGTCTGCCAGTAGAATAAAAAGTCATGTGATATTTACTATTTCAATAGCAAATTGAATTTAAGGGAAGTCTGTTTTTGGGGAATAACATCTGTAAGTCTGTAATATTTTCCTTAATTTTTGGATAGACATAATTTCTGTTTCATCTCCTCTTCATTGTTCCCTTTATATCCTCTGCACATATGTGTTTTCCACTGAGCTGTTCTCCATCTGTAGGATAGTGCTTGATGTACAGCAAAATAGGGATTAAAGAACATTCTAGTAAAGTGCAGAGGAAAGTGGAATTTCTGCTAATAATCATGTTAGTTTTAGAAAATATCAAAATACTTAAAGATTATGCCTTGGAGATCTCAAAAAATGTATAGAACATGAGAGTTTCTTTAGAATCAGGGAAAATTATATATATAATAGATTTTACTGAATTGAGTTAGTAAATGGCTTAAAATATATATTTTTAGACAAAGGCAAGCATTCTGTAATCACAGAAAAGTGCAAGAAAATGACAATATTTATATATATTATTTGTGCATAAATTAATTGCACTACCTTTTACAATTCATAACTTGTTTATGCAAATTGCATTGTCAAGGTACATATTAGAATTTTTCTTCTGGAATGATTGTACACATATAGTAAGATCTTTTTATATAAGGGTTATTTAAGGTCTTCTAAAATGTATGTTTATATTTTTATGTATGTAGAAATGTTTATGCATATTTATATTGCTTGTGATTTTTTGATTCTGTCTTCTTGCAAAGAACTTTAATTGAATTCAAAGCAGAAAATTCACTAAAATGTACACAAGCTGGATCCAATGCCATAGTATTGCTATTGAAATCAGTCATGTTGGATAAAAGTGTATTAACATGCAAATACACAACTGAATGTCTCCACATCCAGTTTAGGTTTCCCAGTGTCACTATAAAAGCCACCATAGAAATATGTAATATTTAAATTGCAGAAGTGTCGTGTGTATGTCATCCCCAACGTTGTTGGATTTTTCCCTATAAATGTTCTTACAAGCTATTGAGATCAACCAGTTAGAGGTTTTGGTGTACTGGTACTTCTGTTGATTTGTTTTGTTATACAGGATCAGGCTCTGTGGTAATACCTATATACAATGCAATGAGAAAGATTATAAAGGAATTGTCGTAGTAACGGAAATAAAATAACTGGTTCAGATTTAGGACTAATTACAATGACTGTAGTTGTTCTACAGCTGGTACTATTATCAGATCAGGAATTTATATACAAACTCTCAGAGATCTCATTTCATGTGCCTGTCCCGATTGCTGTACACTGTTCCATATGACTGCTTTGCATCAGTAGAGCGCGAAGCATCTGGGATACATCTTTAATACAATCAGTGTTTTGGCAGAGTGGCAACAGATAGCTTAGAAGTTCCTCACTCGGGCACTGGTAATGCTGTAGCTACATAAGAAACCCCTTGCTGCTTGGTATTAAGTTGATTATTTTATTTCAGTAAGTTAATTGCTTTTATCCCCTTTTGTCCTTTCCACCTTTCTACTGTGTCGCAGTCTGAAAAAATCTGTCATGAGCAAGAGGAAAAAAAATTAAAATTGAAAAGCTCAGATGTGCTCCGAGACAATGGGACTATTTCAGTGCTGAGTACTGTATGGCACATTGTTAAACTGATTCTTAAATGTATTAAAAAACAAACACTAAAACCAATGTACTATTACCAGTGATCATGCAGAGTGTAATGAAACAATCTGGCTTAGCAATTATTTTTTCTAAAACGTTGCATGTATAATCATTTTCAAGCTACCACATTCATTAGTTGTTAGTCATTGTCCTACACGCTGATCCTTCAACTAACTGCTTTTCTGCGTATCTCATGCTTTTTTTTTTAAATTTCCTCTTCATTTTGTTTTTTAAGAAGGTAATAAAGAAGTGTGAGTCCTTTCAGATCCTGTCTCATGGTGATTGAAGCTGTCTATTTTCCAATTCAAAATACATTTTTAACACCTCCAAGATACCAGAAATAAGAGGTTTATATTAAATCTATATATTGATACCCAACGCTTGTGTTTTTTGTAAAGAAGAGATAAAGCTGTCGCTAACTGACTGAATGTGCTTAAGAAATGAGAATTTGAGGGAAGAGCCACTTCAAGCTTAACCCAGACCAGTGAAGCTATGTGAGCAGAAAATAGATGTAATTTAATAAATTGGAAGAGACCATTATTGTTTCTCATATCAAGGTTATTTGTGTTCTGACTTTCAAAATGTAGCAAGTTGCCTCAAAGACCCAGTGTCTGTCTCTCAGGAATTTCCCCCTGTCTGTCCAAGGCTGAGATAGATTACAGAAATAAGGTAATTTATCTTTATGTCAAAACAAATGTATATATTTTACCTATTACATTTTCCATTTTAAAAGTGGCTAAAGGTCAAAGTCATATAAAAAATCAAATCAATAGATAAAGTGCTATTGAATAAAACCTTTTTAATTTACTTTTAATTACAATTTTAGATCCAATTTTGCTGTACCTACAAAATATATAAAAGAATTTTATCATTAAGAACATCTAAGAATTTAGAAATCATACTTAGGATTTCTGGGAAACATTTCTTTTTCCCGCTGGAATTTATGTTTGTCAGAGTATTTCTTTCTTCTTTCACAGAACAGGGAACATTATACAATCTATCACATATTGAGAAACAAGAATGTTGATTTAAAACCAGTACTTACAGGTGATAAGACACTTTAACCTTCCTTCTCTGCTTTTTACTCCTGCTCTAGGTGGAGCTACAGATCTGCATGTGAAGTCTTTAGGAAGGCATAACTTTTTGTTAACGTTTAATTGATATCTTGTTTTTTCCACTTCTGTTTTTGATGAACCATTGTTTTTTTCTTAATGACTAAAAGGAGGAAAAATTCTTTTGACTAGTTTGATAAAATGGGGGAAAAAAATGAAGACATTTTTGTAGTTTAAATTCTGGAGCACATACAGAATATTGAAGAGTTTATAGAGTAATTTTTGAAGAAAAAAATTGAAAAAATAGACAACTATGCTTAGATTTGAAAGGTTATCAAAATGAAGTACTTACTATATATGTATGTAGTTTAAAAGCACATAACTTTTGAGTCAAATATTTTTAGGCTCCCTGATCATTTTAGATCTTTACAACACAGTGCGAAGGATCATTTTTCTTTAGTTGCTTATCTAATTTCTGATGTTATCACTTTGCATATTATAAGAAACTTTATTAGATTCTATTTTTCTGTTTTAAGAGGATTTTTTTAATGTGGTGGGGTTCATTGGCTGGGTTTTTTTTCCTCCTAAGTGCAAAGTCAAGTCTCTGCTTTAAAACTCCTTGCACTGATGGTTTAATTTCCTTCTTTCGTTTCTGGAAAACATAAAAAAATCAGAAGGATATTTTTGCCTGAATGTCTGTAGGCAGTGATAGAACATTCCCAAACACTACCTATTGAACCTGAGTTTTCTTTACTCACACAGTCATTAATTTAAATTAAATTTCAAAAATCTTCAGATAATCTAGCTGGGAGTCCTCCAGAAAGAGATGTGTGTTGCATGTTCCAATGTAATGATGCTGTCTTCACTAAAGGTAAAGAGGACAAAACCCCCTTGCTTTTGGAATGGAATGGCTTCCTTACTGATTTCTTATTTTCTTTTTTCATCTGGTTCTTCCTTCAATGAAATATTGCCTCTGGACTGCAAGAATAGCAAGAAAAAAAGTGAATACTTTAACAAAAGAAAAATTTTCCAACAACCCCAAAAAGATTACCAGAGGACAAAATTTTAAAGCAGACATATAAATGACATATGAAAGAAAATCTGCATTAATCTCTTGGTGTCACCAACTGAGTGTCTGAGTTCAAAGGGAAGAATTATGAAATTTGCTGATTTTAATTTCTGTTTATGAAATGGTATCATAGAAAGGAATTATCTTTCCCTTGCCTTTTCTTCCCTGTTTCCAAGTGGGGATATATTCAGAAACAGTAGAGAAAATATTAAAATTTACTTCTGAAAAAATGGTGGAATAGTTTGATTACAGCAGAATTGGAAAACGAAAGTTGTTTCCAAAGGTTTGTTTAAAACATGCCCTTAGATATCTTCTTTTTCTTTTTGGTAAATATTTTACAGTCTTTTTTTGTCTGTGTGATGCTCGGTAGTACAGAAAAAAGAAGAGTCTACATCCTCAGAAGCTAATTTATACTTAACAAACTCCACTTTCAAATTGTGAAACTAATTTTTCCTGAAGCATATCTTCAGATTCAGAAAGCATTTTCTCTATACACTTACAGTCAGAATAGCATCTTATTTTTCAAAGCAGGAAATATAAATATGTATTATTACAAACAATTTTAAATAATTCTAACCAATTCTAAGAAATATTTCTATACATAGTCTTTAACAATCTTTAAACAGACTTTAACAGAATTGCACTAATAAGGTGCAAAATCCTTTCCTAAAACCAAAAAAAAAAAGTATCGTAAACTGCAACTTAAAGAATTTGTTTCTGTTCACCATGTAATTTAGAAAGTAAGTTGCTTTATAGGAGGAAAATGTTTTATAAATTGTTTTTTCATCAGTTGGCATGTTTTTATAATCCACTTATTTAACTGCTCAACACAAGTCAATACAAGGTAAAGAATGCAATAATTATCTTTTATTTGAAGTACTGCAAAAATATGTTTAACACTCACATGAAACTAACAGCTAAGAATTCTATTTCTGGATTTTCTATTGATTTCCTGCATGTTTTTGCATGAGTAATGCTTCTGTTCTGCAGAGTGCAGCCCTGCTCCTTACATACTCCTTACCTGCTTACATTGACTATTTGTGAAATGAAAGCTCTAGTCTCTCTAACTTTTGAAAGGTGTAAAAGATATAAATTCTGTCACTTAGAGTATTTTATTTTATGTAATGTAAAAGTACTCAAAGACAACATGATGACTCTTAAGAAGTATCCAGCAAGTACTGGATCTGGAAGTCTGAACAAATTGGCATGGATGAGATAGACAATACTAAACGTAGCAATAGTTATATTCAGAATTTCAACATATCTATGTCTTTGTGTTCAAGAATTTTCAGACACCTGAAATTTCCATATAAAGAAATAGCGCTTTCCTAAATAGCTTAATTCCACTGAAAATAATGAGTCAAATTATAATTAAAGTTATTGCTACACAAACTTTGATTCCATGCAAGGAAAATTTATGTTTTCAGTCAGTCACCAAGCTGATGTGACAACTCATACAATAAAAGGCAACTTATTTAAAACTGAAAAAAAAAAAAAGAAGAGCCATTAGACATTGATATTATTGTATCACTCAGAAAAGAGTCAGGAAATAAACTTGGATAAAAATGATTTATCATGAGGTATCAGCGATCTAATCTTAGAAAACAGTCAGTTTATTCATTTAGACTATGGAAGTTTTCTCACAGACCTCAGAAGAATGTGTGTGGATTTTAGCTGAGTTAATCTGGAGGAAATGAAATCTTTAATCTTTTAAAAGATTATAATGTTTCTTCTTGCTTTGTAGACACTAATACCAGGAGACAGAGGAGGTAGTTACAACCTAGCTGATAGACATATGGTGTAGCAAAGCTCATTAGTTCTATTGTCATTAGCAGAAAGGTTTATTACTTAGGGGTTGATCTGTGGAGAGAGAGAAAAGCTGCAAGAAAATTACTGAATGTTGTGTTGCATTTTGTATGACTTGAAGCTTCTTTCACATATGATTGGGCATCTGGCTGATGGTCTCTAGGAGCCATTGGGCTATCCCAGCAGTTCCAAAATAAATGTCATAGTTGAATACATGTCATAGCAGAAGAGAGTATTTGCAGGAGTAGGACACAGTCCAGGTTTCTGTGCAGCTCTTTTCCTTAAGAAGAACTCCTGGTCTTTACTCCAGGCTGGCTGAAAGACCACAAATATCTTCTCTTGCTCTGGTCAGCCCAGGAAGTGCAGAAAAATTAATTCATTTCCATTTAAGGAAAAGGGAATTGATGGCATTGCAATGCAAAAAACTCCACTATGAAATTTCAGAAAGGCATCAAAATTTAACTAGAATTAACCACAATATACTGAATCTGCTGCTACTGCCTTATGCTCAGATTTGCATAGTATACCCCTATCATGTTTCAATGGATAGTGCAGTTTGCCTCAACTATCTTGGAAGAAGGCACCAAATTATAATCATAACTATCTGTGAGTTGGACCATATTGTCTAGTAATTTTATAGCCAAGTTTTTGGGATCAGGACGTGAGTTTGAATATTTGTTGTTATTTAAGGATTGTACTGTAGGAGGATGTAGTCATTCAGTTTTTCAGGCATACTAGAGGCATTGCCTATACAACTGAATTTTCCATATGGAAAGAACAAGTTTTCTATGTCTCACAAACACGCTGAAGTGTTCTGAGAATAAGTGCCCAGTGCATGTTTGGGGACTGGCCTTGATGCTGCATGGTAAGTATGCTAATATTTCAAATTAAGAGTTAAAATTAGCAATGTGGCAGCAGTTTCACAGTGTGTCTGTATCTGAATGATGTCAAAAAAAAGTGTGCCATAGTTTTGCTAGGTGCAAAAATGTGCCTGTGCTTGTGTCACTGTTGATTGGTTTGGTACTTCCATTGTCTTTTACCCTCACAGAAAAATTAAAGGGATAATATACACAAGGAAAGTCATCAATACTAAATTGAATGTTATTGACTGAGTGAGCTACCAACTCACAGTCATCAGCAAAAAGAAACTCTCTGATGAAGAAAGCAGCCATATGTGTCTGCTGAGTGAACAACTTGCATCCGTAAGAAACTGAACAAACGTAGCTCTGCCAGTGGCTTCTTCTGCACAACAGAAAGGAGATGTAAAGGAGTATGGAAACTATGATATTAAAGAGATCTTGCCGTTTCCACATATCTAACCATCATCTTATTACAGAGGCTTAGATAAGTCAGAAAGAAAATTTGCGGGGCATTCATGGGTCTGCAAAAGCTTCGAGTCCCGTATAATTCACATTGTCAAAAGCTTTAACTAGGTCAGTGGTCAGCAAGCAAAGACTGTAACTTGAACTGATATTATTTGAAGAGGATCATGTGTATAGTGTTACTTTCCTAATAAGTCCACATGGAAGTTTTGGGAAGACAGATTACACGAAACAGAACTTGAGTTGCTCAGTTTAGGTATGCTAGGGTTTTCGTAGCATCAGAGAAGAGAAATACCAGAATAATGTTCACAATTTGCATCACGATTTTTTGTAATAGATATTGCTGATGTCTTTGAATTCCTGTGAAATTGCCTCCTGCTTTCATATAATGTGAGAAGACCACGTGGTGTTCGTGCTGCTTTTTCAAATGTAATTTACCGCCATCTCTTTTCCAGGCCTGTATTGTACAAAGTCACTGAGTGTGCTGTTTCGGTGTCAAGACTTTGTAAAAAAAAGAACATTTTTGACTGAAAAATTTGACATGTCATCTTTGCATTTTGAGCACAGGAGACTATAAATTTCAGTCTATGACAAATTTCTGTCATTCTCAGAACTGTGACTAAGGATTTTTTATTCTACACTTCATACTACCAAAGTATTGTATTAAGTTTGTTGAGCTTACATGCTATAACAGGTGAAAAGATATGTGTGCTGTCACTCTCTTACCTATCCAAGAAGTATATAATACAGGTACAGAAACTGCATTGAGCAGGCTGATATTGACAAATACAGGTTGAGTTTTGAGATCTTTTGTCTAGTGAATAGTATTGATTTCTCTAGATTCAATGCTACTACAGAGTGCTTTCAGGAATGATGTTGTTTTTATGTTAATTTAAAATGTGTTTATACCATTTTGTGACTACATTCTGTGTTAATGGACACCTACTTCTGTCATGTCCAATACAGTCTTGGGCCTCTGTTCTATGTGTAATTCGCGCCACTATCAAATCTTATTACCTGCAACTGCTGGTTTTCTGTTTGAGTTTTCAGCTGACAATCCAAAATTCATGGCAATGCTTGAAGACAGAGGTATAGTTTCTGAAAATTGACAAGAGCTCAGGATAAGTTAGAGGAATTGGAGAGAAAAATAGAAGCAAGCAGTGTACTGTTTTTTAAATTGAGGAAATACTCTGGGGTTTTTTTTATCACAATTACATAACTATCTGAACAAAACCAGAAAGAGGGTTCTTCTCATGAAATCTCCAAATACAAAATAAAATCTAATTTTAAATCAGGCTGAAACAAACAAACAAAATAATCAGAGTATATCTGGCACAACTTAAGTAAAAATATGTATCATACATATATGTCGAATGAAATAATAAACAGTTCAAAACTAAGCGATTAATAATGAATTTTTTAAAGTTTTTTTAAAGCGAGTGTAAAGCTGTTGTAAAGCTTTTTTAACATGAGTTTGGTAAATAAAAATGCATTTATGGTTTATATCAGAGTTGTCTGATCTGTGTAGTTTTTCCCCAAAAGGGTGTGAAGCAATTTGTCCATCTCTGTGCACCTTCAAAAGAAGGAATTTGAAGCAGTCTTTCAATCCTGTTACTATATTTCTGGTGAGTTACTGATGATGTCCCTCCCAGATGCAGTAGAGTAACACACTGTGACAATAATATATAGATAAAATACAGTACAGAAACTTGCACTGTGCAAGTAATGGATAATCTGCCTATGCACATCATATTTAAATTATATTCTAACACCTTTTTGTACAATATTGTTTCTATTGAAACAACAAATTAAAGGCATAGGTTAACTTGGTATTATCTCCAGAGTTCTCAGTCCTCTGTTAACCTACTCATATTTTTTATCATTTCCATTCCCCCCTCCTTGTTCTTTTAAATTCTTTCCGCAAACAGAACATCCTCACTGAGAATCAATCTCCCTTTCTTCTTCCCTCTCTCCTTTTACATTCCTTTTTTTTTCTCTCCTTCTCCTCCTCCTTCTTCTCAGTTTTCTTCTCCTTTCTTTGTAATTTTTAATGGAATTAAGAAATTATGTAAACAAAATCTCAGAGGCACTGACCACTAAGTTTTTTTTAGAGGAAACCAGAGGAAAAGCACCAGGCAAAGAAATAGCAGAACATTGTTTGGTGAAATTGAGAATATACAGTTGTTATAACAAGCTGTTCTTATTACCAGGAGAAATCAGGACCATGCTTAGGTCTCGCATACCTATCAAGTGGGATTACACTTCTGCAACATACCTGAAATGAGTAACATAATATACAAATGGGACATAAAATGGCATTTCTTTTTATGCTTTTCATATTAGTATGTGTTTAAATGATATATGACCACGTAAGTCAGCAGTTCTCAGACTGTGTGCTGTGGTCCAGAGGAAGACTCTTTAGCACTTAGTACTGTTGTCCACCTGCCCTCCTCCAATCCTAACCTGAAGATAGATGAAATACATTACATACTTTTCCAGTAATACTTTACCAGTATCTTGCCAGTTTTTATATTTAGTATGTTGTCCAACTCTTGGTTGAACTGATTTGGTGTATGTTTTTAGTAATGGAAAGAAAGTGAGGGAGGAACATTTTATTAAGAAAAACTTTTTTGAGGCAGTTTGTAAACTTTCTAAGCAGGGTCAGCATAGCAACCACAGGAGCTGGACTTCACTCTTTGTCTTTAGACTCCTTCACTTTCATAAAAATTGCAGCTCGTTGTTCCATCAGGTGACACCAGCATGAGCACATGCCTTCTTCTGTGTTTCACGCTACTGCCGCTTAGAAAGAGTTGTTTTGGAGCTCTGTAGGGTTACCTTTTCTCCTTCTCTTTCAATGGGGGCAATTTTGTCTGTTGTATTTGCTTTTTTCCTCTGCCCTCTTGTTGGGAGAGGAGAGGCAGTGACAGTACCACAATGAAGTGCTTGGCTGTGCCAGCAGCAATTAGCTGCTCAAATAGTTGCTTCTCTTCCCTAGAAAAAAACCACTAAAGCAGACGAAAGCATCCTGTAGGCTGAACTTGATCCATGGACTACCTGTAGAACTTGCAGAACTCATTAGCATCTCCTCTATTGCTTATAGTCTGCTAGGTGTAAAGGCATATTTAATTTAATTTTAAATGTTATATTCCTTTAATGAGATGGAGTGTGTTTCATAAGGACATTACTTGCAATATATAAAGCAGTTTTGTCAGGGTAAAATGATGTACGTCTTGGGCATAAAGTGCTTGCTAGAGGGCTTAACATGAATATTTCTACTGCTAGAGAAAGCTGTATGAAAGTCCACCAGTAAAAATCAAAACATATGCTAAGTAAGATCTTAAACAAGTCTGTATTCAAAAATAATAAAGTTTCATGATTTAATTTACAAACTGCAAAGAAAGCAAGGACACCACGTTTATGTAAAGATTCTACTTACCTATGATTTATTTTTTCTGAAGACTGAAAGGCCAAATCCCAGGAATTTCAGTGGAGGTTACGTGCAGGATTTTGGAAGAATTATAGTGCGTGATAGTAGTTAACTACCTTCTGAATTGTTACAAAAGATATTAGAGGGTTAAATGTTCAGCTTGTAGCTGCAACTTTTAAACTTAAGCTTGGGAAATTTAAATTCAGTAAACATCCTTGCTACGTTCTTTTCAGAAAACAAGTCTCATGCATTTTTATGTGCTTCTGTATTATTTAATATGTTACACCTTACTTAGACTTAGTCAGAGTTCTAAAAGAAAATAAAAAGTACAACTGGGATAGCTGTTAGATGTACTCTGCCAAATATTATTTTGCCCAGGTCATGTGTAGGGTGCTATCATTAGTGTTCTGTGCTAGAAATTTTATTGTTGTTTGAATTTTTTTGTTGTTGTTGTTTTGTGCCCTTTGTTATGACCTTGGGCCTCAATCAGCTCATTAAAAATTAAATTGCTAATTACAACCTGGCTTTGTTTTCCACTTTGATCAGAAAGCACAATAGGTTCCTTAGGTGGATTTACCCATAAAATATTCTGGTAATGAGAATAGAAAAGGCAAGTTTAATAACTTTAATATCAAAACAAAAGCTACAGAAATTCCACCCAGAGGATAATAACAAAAATTTTATCTAATAAAAAGATAAAGCTCCTTGAAATACCAAAATTCCATTTTCTAGATTATTAAATTAACAACTTGAAGTAGGTATAATTTCCACTACTTCTTCCGTGGCTAATGCTCCTCTTCCATCAGCCTGAACATTACAGCATTATTTAATTTGTACTGCAATAACTTGAATTCAAAGGAGGAGATAAAACTGTTTAAAAATCATAGAGAAAATTTGCTGAATGCTGTTAATTGCCCATGTTTTAACTGTTTTTGCAGTTTTACTGTGTTCCCTCATTACTTGCTATGCAGGAATACTTAGAGATTTTAGCTCATAGGCATTTCCTCACACAAAGATTTGGGAATGGGTGGTGGTAGAAACATAACATAAAAATATATGTAATGTGAAAGCACGAATCCACTTAGTCTAACCTGCTGTTTCTCACAGGATCTAGGGGAAAGTATGAGAGTAGGAAAAAAATATATTGATACTTGTCCAGCATCTTAAGTGAACTTTCTGTGACCTTTGGCACCAGTGATCTTTCTCTTTCCTATACAGACAACAATGATCTTAAAACAGAACATTCCCATGTAAACATGAGTGTTTGATTTTTTGTTTCATTATTCTATTTTCATTAGTCTTCTTTTGATTTCTTTTGTTATTCCCTTTTCATTAGTCTCCATTTCCAAAGGTTTCACTCATTCTGAAATGAGATCAAATCCCTGCAACTGAATGAGCAGTTGCAAACCATGGAGGATGAAAAGTTCAGCTATGGTTCTGAGAGATGAAAACACACAGGAAATGTTTGTAGTAAGAGGTGGGAAATAATTCATAATGGACAGAATTAATTAACAATTACTATAAAAACCAAGAACCAGTCTGTCAAATGTAATTATCACTTACTAGTTCTTAATGAGTAAGGATCCAAAACAAATAATTGAGGATGACTTTGGGAAGAAACATGAAATAAATTTGCTCATACTAGTAAGCTTGCTTCTGAAAATTGAATTAAAATTAAACTTTGTGCTACTTTTAAATAAATACAGAAAGATGAAACATTTATTTTAGGATTTCTTCATAGCATTATAGCTATCAGGCAAGGGTTGGCAAGCTTAATATTTGACAGGGTTTTCAAGCCTAGACTGCCACACCTTGAGAAAATAAAGAGGCTTCAATGCTTGTCTACTTCAAGAGAGGTCTTGAAATGAGATAGAGACAGTAAAAGGTGACTTGTCAACTCCAGCTAAAATCCCTGAGCATGATCATAGAGTCATAGAATCATAGAATCATAGAATCATAGAATCATAGAATCAGAATCAACCAGGTTGGAAGGGACCTCTGAGATCATCAAGTCCAACCCTTGATCCACTTCTACCATGGTTACTGGACCGTGGCACTACGTGCCACATCCAACCTCATCTTAAAAACCTCCAGGGATGGAGAATCCACCACTTCCCTGGGCAGCCCATTCCAATGTCTGATTACCCTCTCTGTAAAGAATTTCCTCCTAATATCCAACCTAAACCTCCCTTAGCAGAGCTAAAGACCATGCCCTCTTGTCCTACTGATAGCTGCCTGGTAGAAGAGACCAACTCCCACCTGGCTACAAACTCCTTTCAGGGAGTTGTAGAGAGTGATGAGGTCTCCCCTGAGCCTCCTCTTCTCAAGGCTAAACAACCCCAGCTCCCTCAGCCTCTCCTCACAGGACCTGTGCTCGAGTCCCTTCACCAGCCTCGTTGCTCTTCTCTGGACCTGCTCCAGCACCTCAATATCCTTCCTGAACTGAGGGGCCCAGAGCTGGACACAGTACTCCAGGTGTGGCCTCACCAGTGCTGAGTACAGGGGAAGAATCACTTCCTTGGACCTGTTGGCCACACTGTTCCTGATCCAGGCCAGGATGCCATTGGCCTTCTTGGCCACCTGAGCACACTGGTGGCTCATGTTCAGCTTCCTGTCAATCCAAACTCCCAGGTCCCTTTCTGCCTGGCTACTCTCCAGCCACTCTGTCCCCAGCCTGTAGCACTGCAGGGGTTGTTGTGGCCAAAGTGCAGGACTCAGCGCTTGGCCTTGTTGAACCTCATCTCGTTGGAATCAGCCCAACTCTCCAGCCTGTCCAGGTCCCTCTGTAGAGCCCTCCTTCCTTCCAACTGATCACATGTGGCAAAGGGCTGAGAAGAGATATTTTCATGCTCTTATCACTCACTTGTTTTTCAGTCAAGAAGGGAGTAAGATCTTCCCTTTTTTTTATCACATTTGTGTAGTCATCATTCTTTTTTTTTTTTTTTTGGTAAGAATATAATAAGCACAGATTGAAGATGTAAATTAAAAGGCTGCATAGGCAATACGTTTCAAGAAGTTGACTCCTCTGTATTGTTTTCAGATTTTTGGGAAATGTTAAAGGTCAGAATTTGTGTACTGTCATTCAAATCTTTTGAGTTTAGAACTTTACAAGAAAAGTTCAAGAGAGAAGAAAAATATTTTGCACATCTATTTGTCCTTCTTGTAAATATCCTCATAACTGTCTGGAAAAATGATTGAAAAGTTATTATTTTCTTTAAAGTATATTGTATTATAAAGGGCCTTTTCATGATAGATTGTATAATAAAGAGTCTTTTTATAAACAACTTATAACAAATTATTTAAGTTGAAAAATAAAGCTGCCTTGTGGATGGAGTGCATTAAGAGTTATCAGCACATTTTGAGAGCTCTGAAACTGTCTCTGGGTATTAATACTTGACTAAGTTATTCAGTTTTGCAATCTGCTATTCATATATATATATTTAAATGAAGACATTTTCCTTGGAAAATCACAATGGCCTAAATTGATCTCTGATTTCTGTAAATAGGTTGAATATATTTCTTCACATGATGTGTACACTGTGTGCAGAATAATTTTTATAATAAATATATTAGAAGCTTTCATGTGTACAAATATGAAGAATGGCAAGATTTTTTATATGTTTATATTATTTATAGTCATAGTTTGTTTTATGAGTTATTTCCTATATGGCAGTGATTATGAATGTGCTAGGATTTTTCAGTGTTTGGATGAATGTTGTATTAAGTAATTACTGTTCAGAACAATATGCTGATACTGGTCAATGATTTGAAATAAACTTTGATCCATCATAAAAAAACTGCACTTCATATATATTTTATCTAATGTAATGTTTTTGCCTGTGTTCTGTATTCACTGTGAGTAGATGACTCATAAGGAAAAACTATTCTGTTCTCAAATTCTCCAGGCACTACCATTCAAAAGTTATTAGATTAAACTAGTTTTAAAATTAGGAAACAATATCAGTAACTTAATGATAAGAAGAAACAGTAAGCAAAAACCCATTAAAACCCATATGGTTCAAAAATAAGATATGTACAGGAATATATAATAAAATTGATAGACATATATGCATATGCATTCATATATGTACACATCCAAAGCTATATATATTTACATATACATGTAAGCTTGTACACACAAAGGAGATATATGCTTTAAATACATAAACAAATGAATAAAGGACATATATATTTTCAATATTAAAAAATATGGGATAATTCTAAAAAATCCTAAGTATTTTATCTGTGTATCTAAAAGAAACCTTTCCTTCCCTGTCATGGGAAATATCTAGGACCACCTTTATGGTTTGGTACATATATTCAATATCCTTTAAGTGTGCTGCTTTGTTGACTACATTGGCTTTTCTTCTCATTGTTTAGGTTTTGTAAATAAAACTGAAGGATTTTTGATATATTGCAAAGAATTAGCAGTATCTGCCAGTACGTGGATTGATTGCTTCTCACACAGAATTTTAGCACTTGGATTAACTTCCAGTAAATATATAACACTTCATAATGTCTTTATTTCAGCTGACACTAAGGTATATGCTCACATGTAAGCGTGTGTTCAGTCCATCATAAATAAAACAGTGTAACTTATATTTAGTATCTGCAAAGCTTCTTTTGCTCAGGTATTTCAAACTTTTCCGTTATTTTTGGTTATGCAATGGTTAGACTTTTGCATTTAATTTAGCAGGAAAAAAAATACAAATTACAAGTTCACAAGTATTTAGTTCCTAGTTAGTGCCTAGTGTGATTAAATAGGATTCTGGTCTGACTTCAGAAAAGTCATATTACCTTCATTACACCATTTGTAAACCAATCAACCGTGTCACCTCCCTCCCCATCCTTCATCTTCCAGAAGACTGAAATTGGTTTATTTCTTTTCACCTAGGAAGAGGAAATAATCTAAAATTCTGTCCTGATAAAACAAAACTGTACTCTTTTGGTATGAGGTTTGTACTTCATTATTTTTGGGATAAGCCTTTGAAAATTCTTTCTGCAGGTAGACCACCTTCACTTGACAGAGATAACATGCATGTCTAGTGTATCAGATTGTTCTGAAAATATGAGTGGTTTGAAGTAACATGAGGGAAGGATTTGGTCTATTGAGTCAAATCAGTTCCTGATTACTTTTCTTCTTGTGGAGACTACCCTGTTGTGTTGAAATATGTCCCTGCAATGCCATTCTGATTGTCAACACACTGAAGAACCACTGGCTTGTTAAAGGGCACATAGCTGAAGGACTGATAACTTTTTGCTCTTTCTCTTCCTCCATCTACCATCCTAATAATTGCCATTAAGCATCAAGACTCTGTATATGGAAGTGCCTTTATTATAGAAGCAACAATAGTTGCTTTCAGCTATTCTAACATCTGAAACTGGGGTTCACAGTTGTCTGACTTTACTATGATTGTTATCTAGATTGTTGTGCTTTTCTAAGTTGTTTTCTGTGCTCCTTTCTCCCCATTATGACACTTTTATTCCGAATCTCCAGTGAGGCTCTGTGACTTTCTATTGCTTACAGAAAACGTAAACGTAACTATGGCTTTCAGCTTTCCCCATTATCCTCAAAATCATACAACATAATTTAATGTTTAGTGGTATTTTGCCATGTCCTTTATGTGTTATTTTTAAGCTTATCTATAATCACTGCCTACACTTTGTGGTAAAATATATCCAGAAAGATACTACACGTTTCAAAGACAACCGCCATCATTCAGTAGAATCAAAACACCCTTTGGTAGAAAATAATAGATTATATGTGATTTGTACGTGACATTGTACTGGGTGGATTAGAATTTCCATGAGAGCCGTTTAACATGACACGAAAAAAAATACTGATAGCTAAGGTACCAGAAAGCACAATTTTATTTTTTTTTTAATAAGAAAAATTTTGCCTTTGTTACTTTTCAAGGTCAAAAACTGTTCAAGTGACCTCTAAGGAAAAAATCGTTAGAAGAGATGTAGGTTCTTGGAAAAACTTTCTCTCATTTTAGGAAGAAAATGTCATTTGGAGTCAGAAGCAGAACATGGGGTTTTTTCACTGCAATTACTTAATCAGTTCTTCTGAAGATTAGCCTGAGATACTGCGTAACTGAGCGAAGCTCATTTTTCCTTACAAAAACAGAGCTGCATTAATTTAAACATTAAAATAAAGTGTATCACTTTAGCTACAATGCTGTACTCTGCAGTATCTAATTTCAATCAGTAAGAATCTTAATATAATAAAAAAATATATTGTAAATTAGATCTGAAAATGCATCATTGTCAAAGAACATACTTTCAAGTTCATGTTTCTAGTCACATTATTTAATCTTTGGTAATATTTTTGGTATGTCTCTCATTTACTCAGAAATTAAGATGTTTGTTGTCCCTGGTGCCATTTTGCTTAACAGTTCAGATGATTTCCAATTCAATTTAAGTGAAGAAAAAGACTTTTCAAAGTGTAACACTGGTTTTTGCAGCTTTTTTTTTCTGTTTTTTTTTTTACTACAAAAAGATCTTGGAGTTGAAAACTGATATTTGTAAAATAGTAAACCTCACTGAGCTTTTTATGTTTTTGTGAGGTACCAAAAGTTATATTCTGTGTAATAAAACTAGGCAATTATTTTGTAAATGCATGTTTAACTATGAAAAATTACTAATGTTGTTCACAGTGTGATGTAAATACCTGCCAAGAGACCTCTGCCTTTCAATTTTTTATGGTCTTAAAGAGTAGTGATAACAAAATTTTGTTGAGTGATCTGCATTTGTTCCTAGTCAGACACATGTGTTTCAGAGCCATAGAAGAAGAACCAATAGAAGATTTGAAATTTTAAGTGCCATGGCAGAGGAATCTTGAGGCACCTTATTGTTTTATATCTCAACAAGTTTCCCAGAAGTTTGCAGGATAATGCAGAAAAATCTTGTTTGAAAA